TACGCATCAACAGACAACAACAAAAACACTAGATAAAAAAGATACAATGGAGTGTAGCAATAATACTCGACGTTTACGTTTACGTGGTTTTTTATTTTGATTACTTTATATTTCTGTTTTTATTGGTGGATTTGGAATCTTTTAGTTACAAATCGAAAAATAGGTGTCCTGGAAGCAAAAATGATCAAAGAGTAAGAAAAGAGTTGCAATTAAGAAAATAAAATAAAATTAGAAGAGAGAATCCATCAACACCTTTGGTAGTGTCCACGAAGTCGAGCATAACACTCTCATCCGGACTCCAAATCAACTAGTTCTAGTGCCATTAGAAAGCTATTTCAGTGTGCTACAATTCCTGTCTAACGGCAAATTTCCAAATTCGGACTCGAACATGGTCAAAATTGGATAACAAAAGCGATCATGATAATACGTACTACAATTCAAGGACATGAATGCGCATCAAGAAACGTGCACAAAAACACTCGCTAGAAAAGATACGCATATAAGTATAAGTACAAAAGCATGCACAAAAGTACTCAAGCAAATGTGCGTTCGCAAAAAGGATCATGAAAACACTAACTACAATCCTAGGACATCAATACAAATTAACAAACAAGCACAAACACACTCGCTCAAATGGACATGCACAAACGTACATGTAAAAAAACATGCCCAAAAGGGCTTACGCAACAACGATCTTAAAAACACGAACTACAATACTAGGAGTTTAATACGCATCAACAGACAACAGCAAAAACACTAGATAAAAAAGATACAATGGAGTGTAGCAATAATACTCGACGTTTACGTTTATGTGGATTTTTGTTTTGATTAATTTATATTTCTGTTTTTATTGGTGGATTTGGAATCTTTGAGGTAAAATTCGAAAACTAGGTGTCCAGAAAGCAAAAATGATTAAAGAGTATGAAAAGAGTTGCAATGAAGAAAATAAAGTCAAATTAGAAGAGAGAATCCATCAACATCTTTGGTAGTGTCCACGAATTTGAGCATAACTATCTCATCCGGACTACAAATCAACTGGTTCAGGTGGCATTGGAAAGCTATTTCAGTGGGCTACAATTCCCGTCTAACGAAAAGTTTCCAAATTCGGACTCGACAATGGTCAAAATTTTATTACAAAAGCGATCATGAAAATACGTACAACAATTCAAGGACATGAATGCGCATCAAGAAACGTGCACAAAAACACTCGCTACAAAAGATACGCACATAACTAAAAGTACACTAGCATGGACAAAAGTACTCACGCAAAAGTGCATTCGCAAAAGGATCATGAAAACCCTAACTTCAATCCAAGGACATTAATACAAATCAACAAACATGCACAAACACGCTCGCTCAAATGGACATGCACAAACGTACATGCACAAACGTACATGTAAAAAAACATGCGCAAAAGTGCATTTGCAACAATGTTTTTACAAAAACGAACTACAATACTAGGACTTTAATACGCATCAACAGACAACAGCAAAAACACTACATAAAAAAGATACAATGGAGTGTAGCAATGATACTCGACGTTTACGTTTACAAGGATTATTGTTTTGATTAATTTATATTTCTATTTTTATTGGTGGATTTAGAATCTTTTTGGTAAAAATCGAAAACTAGGTGTCCCGGAAGCAAAAATGATCAAAGAGTAAGAAAAGAGTTGCAATTAAGAAAATAAAATAGAATTAAAAGAGAGTATCGAACAACATCTTTGGTAGTGTCCACGAAGTCGAGTTAAACTCTCTCACCCGGACTCGAAATAACCTTGTTTAGGTGGCATTAGAAAGCTATTTCAGTGGGCTACAATTCCCGTCTAATGGCAAATTTCCAAATTCGGACTCGAACATGGTCAAAATTGGATAACAAAAGCGATCATGAAAATACGTACTACAATTCAAGAACATGAATGCGCATCAAGAAACGTCCACAAAAACACTTGCTACAAAAACTATGCACAAAAGTAAATGTACAAAAGCATGCACAAAAGTACTCACGCAAAAGTGCATTCGCAAAAAGGATCATGAAAACACGAACTACAATCTTAGGACATTAATACAAATCAACAAACATGCACAAACACGCTCGCTCAAATGGACATGCACAAACGTACATGTAAAAAATTATGCGCAAAAGTGCATCTGCAACAATGTTCTTAAAAACACGAACTACAATACTAGGACTTTAATACGCATCAACAGACAACAGCAAAAACACTAGATAAAAAAGATACAATGGAGTGTAGCAATAATACTCGACGTTTACGTTTACGTGGATTATTTTTTTGATTAATTTATATTTCTGTTTTTACTGGTGGATTTGGTCTTTTTGGTACAAATCGAAAATTAGGTGTCCCGGAAGAAAAAATGATCAAAGAGTACGAAAAGAGTTGCAATTAGGAAAATAAAATAAAACTAGAAGAGAGAATCCATCAACATCTTTGGTAGTGTCCACGAAGTCGAGCATAACTCTCTCATCCGGACTCCAAATCAACAAGTTTAGGTTGCATTAGAATGCTATCATGACAGTACGTACTACGATTCAAGGACATGAATGCGCATTAGGAAACGTACACAAATACACTCGCTAGAAAAGATACGCACATAAGTAAAAGTACAAAAGCATGCACAAAAGTACTCACGCAAAGATGCATTCGCAAAAAGGATCATGAAAACACTAATTACAAGCCTAGGACATTAATACGAACACTACTAGAATACATATTTTTTATAGCATATTATAATAGCGTGTTTTAACTAGGTGCTATTGTTTTGTTTAAAAAATTATCGGCAATCCTATTAACAAAATAAAACGCTATAATATAATAACGTGTTAAAACTTTTAGGGGGCAAAAATATGTATTCTCCCGCAATCCTAAAAAGAATAGGTTTTAAAACATTAAATAAAAAGTTTTAATTTGACTTTTCACTTACCCATCGTTCTCTTCATCCCGTCATCTCCTCTACAGCTTTTTTTTTAACCCAATTTTACCATTCAACAAACCTAATTCTAAATTGTCACCGAACTTGTAAAATCAATTCACCAAGCAAAAAATTCTTCAAGAGGATACGCTATCAGAGAAAAACGAGACCGTGCTGCGATTGTATCTCACCGATAGGGGACGAATATCATACAAGTAATTATACGGTTCTCTCTTCTATTTTTGTATTTCTATTTCAATTCCTCAAAATCAGGCTACCCATGCTTCAATTTCTATGGATTTTTGTTTATATAGTTATGATTCTTGCATTATGCCCAGATTTGGGAAATATCGTTGGATTTTTTTGTAAGTTTTTGATTCGTTCGCCCATGCTTAGGAAAGGGGCAGACTTTAAATGATTTGAATTGTGTTTTTAAATTTCTTGTGATTCATGCATGAATTTGGTGTTTTGAGAATTAAGTAGTTTTATTTCAATTCTTCAAAATCAGGCTACACATACTTCAATTTCTATGGATTTTTATTTTATTTATTTTTTTATTTTATGTTTCTGACTCTTGCATATGCCCAGACTTGGAAAATAGCATAGGAATTTTTTTGTAACTTTGTGATTCTTTTGCCAAGGCTTAGGAGATGGGCTGACTTTAAATGCTTTGCATTGAGTTTTTAATTTTTTTCTGATTCGTGCATTATGCACAAATTGGAATATTGAGAATTTGGTGTGTTGAAAATTGATTTTATATAAATTACATAGAGGTTTCAATTTGGGAAAGAAATATGAACCAAAAGGATTTTTTCGGAAAAAATAAAATGAATGATTAACCATATTTAACTACAGTTTGAAAATTTCTTTGAAACTAATGTCAAAGCCTACTTAGCTATTACTTGTTTTTTTTTTCAAATTTTTTTTCTTTAATTTCTTAATTCTCTATGTAGGTGCATTTTATAACTGCTAGACGGTTTGTTCAGTGATCAAATTTTAGTTTACAGCATGTTATTTCGAATAATGTATTTTGCATACGCTCTGTGAGATATGGAATTATCTGATAAATAATATCGATTATTATAGTTTGATTTGACCTCTGAAGAACATTCTATTCATAGAATAAAACAATATATGACTGCTCTGGCAATAACTGTTTGACAGTTCTTGAAGATTTGGTGTTCAAGCAATATACAGAAATCTAGAGTCACTCGTAGTAATCACTATTTGACGTTTTTTAAATATGTATTTTATTTAAAGGAACATTGTTGTTTATCTAGAAATTCATTGAGTTATAAGTTACGTGGATTGAATTTGCATAGTAACCAATTAACTGGTGTTCTAATTGCTAGCTGAAAAATCTTTATGTGACGTAGTATGAAGTCTCATTTTGTATGTTGCTTAAAGTGTGGTTATTATGTTGGTTCAGTTTATTATGTATTTATTATGTTGGTTCAGTTTATTATGTATTTATTATGTTGGTTATGTATGTGTTTGAAATTTACACAGTGATTAATTAAGGATTTTTGATAATGATATAGGATTTAATCTGATAGTGGAAACTTTATCAAATCAAGGCTGCTAAAACCAGATTGGGAGCTTGCAACTCAGGTACATATGTGTCATGTGTATCTTTTATTTCATATTTAGATGATTATGATAGCTAACAAATCGTATATTTATTATTTATTTTTGTAAAAATCCTAATTTCATTTAAATAAATTTTCTTCAATCCATCATTGATCAGTGAAGGGAATCTGATCTGGAAACATTTACTTGGAATCGTTGGTGATAGAAAGGCCACTTTCTTGAACGGTTAGCACCTATTTCACCTCTGTAATTGGTTATTTATATACAAATTTGTTGCAAATGGTTTTTTTTTTTTTTTTTTTTTTTTTGGATCACTGTCGATGCTATTTGATATTGGTTTTGGTTTTAGCTTAGTTTTTGTTACGGTAATCTGCTATTTCGTTGCTTACGTTGATAATTGTATATTTTATTTTTTAATTTTATTTGATTTTCTTAAATACTCACTAGTAGTTTTTTATGCTGGTTCAGTTTCTGGATCTGGTCAAATTGTTGCTGAAGGACGATGGTCCTCAAATGATCCAAGTCAAGTTGTTCATTTTGTTCCATTGGGTCCTAATGCTACGAGAGTTTGGGTAGAAACAGCAAAAGTCCCAGCCGCGTCTCTCTGGAGATCTACTTCTGAGATGGAGTTTATTGAAGATGCCATAGGAACTACAGTAGCATGGCCAACAGATAAAGTGGTTATATTGTAGAGTACCGGTAAGCGATTAGACTCTCTTTATTCTAAGTTTAATTTTTTTCTCCAATCACGTATTGTACTTAATTTGATATTGTCATCGAAATTGTAATTTATGTATTGCAAATCGATTGATTCACTTGATTTAGGTAAATGTTCCGTATCTCTTTCTTTGTAGTACTTTACGAGTACAATATATTTAATTTTTTTTATTTACTTTTACAGGAAATGGAAGGAGAAAATGGAGAAAAGTAAACATGCATGGGCAGTCACTAGAAACCTTTTTGGGAGCTGAATGTTAGAGTAAAATATTTTTTTATTGTTTATTTTTTAAATAGCGTAGTAGGTTGTTCTCGGATGTTAAAGTTATCAGGATACTTCATTAAACATAATAAGTACTTTGTTCTTTTAGTAATTAAAATTTATGAGTCATTACTCATATTGCACCATAATATGCGATGTGTATTTAGTATTGTGATTTATCGTGTTGTTATTGCAGCAAATGCAATGGTGATAGTAATAACTAATTACACTAAAGAGATGCTACAATAGTGAATAATACAGGGATATATAATGCTATAAAAGATTGAACCATATCACCTAATTGAAAACCACAACTAAAAGAAAATGCTATAAAAGATTGAACCATATCATATAATAGCGTTTACAATGTGATTTTCTGGAGTTTTACCATAGCACACTATAGTTGTCATAATATAGTTTATTATAGCACTTCATATGCGCAATTACAAAATGTACAATAGCGCCATATTTTTGAGGTTATAGTATTTTTAATAGCATTACTTAGTCGTTATTAAAACAATTACAATAGCGCCGGTTTGGTGCTATATTAGAGTCTATTATGTCGCATTACAAACGCTATTATAGAGGTTCAAATAGCGTTGACGGTTCGCTGTTGTAGTGGTTTTTACCATAGCGATAGGAAAACGCTATGAAATCTCCGGTATCTATTATAGCTCCGGCAGAAATAGCGTTTTCAAAAACGCTATCATAGGCTACAATAGCGTTTTGCAAACGCTATCGATGACAGTCTGTGGTGTAGTGGAATCAACAAACATGCACAAACACGCTCGCTCAAACGGACATGCACAAACGTACATGTAAAAAGACATGCGCAAAAGTGCATCCACAACAACGTTCTTAAAAACACCAACTACAATACTAGGACTTTAATACGCATGAACAGACAACTAAAAAAAACACTAGATAAAAAAGATACAATGGAGTGTAGCAATAATACTCGACGTTCACGTTTACGTGGATTTTTGTTTTGATAAATTTATATTTCTGTTTTTATTGGTGGATTTGGAATCTTTTAGGTACAAATCGAAAATTAGGTGTCCAGAAAGCAAAAATGATCAAAGAGTAAGAAAAGAGTTGCAATTAAGAAAATAAAATAAATTAGAAGAGAGAGAATCCATCAACATCTTTGGTAGTGTCCACGAAGTCGAGCATAACTCGATCATCTGGACTGCAAATCAATTGGTTTCGGTGGCATTAGAAAGCTATTTCAGTGGGCTACAATTCCCGTCTAACGAAAAGTTTCCAAATTCGGACTCGACAATGGTCAAAATTTTATTACAAAAGCGATCATGAAAATACGTACTAAAATTCAAGGAAATGAATGCGCATCAAGAAACGTGCACAAAAACACTCGCTATGAAAGATACGCACATAAGTAAAAGTACAAAAGCATGCACAAAAGTACTCACGCAAAAGTGCATTCGCAAAAAGGATCATGAAAACACTAACTACAATCCTAGGACATTGATACAAATCAACAAACATGCACAAACACGCACGCTCAAATGGACATGCACAAACGTACATGTAAAAAGACATGTGCAAAAGTGCATCCGCAACAACGTTCTTAAAAACACGAACTACAATACTGGGACTTTAATACGCATCAACAGACAACAGGAAAAACACTAGATAAAAAAGATACAATGGAGTGCAGCAATATTACTCGACGTTTACGTTTACGTGGTTTTTTGTTTTGATTAATTTATATTTCTATTTTTAGTGGTGGATTTGGAATCTTTTAGGTACAAATCGAAAATTAGGTGTCCAGGAAGCAAAAATGATCAAAGAGTAAGAAAAGAGTTGCAATTAAGAAAATAAAATAAAATTAGAAGAGAGAATCCATCAACATCTTTGGTAGTGTCCACGAAGTCGAGGATAACTCTCTCATCCGGACACCAAATCAACTGGTTCCGGTTGCATTAGAAAGCTATTTCAGTGCGCTACAATTCCCGTCTAACGCCAAATTTCCAAATTCAGACTCGAACATGGTCAAAATTGGATAACAATAGCGATCATGAAAATACGTACAACAATTCAAGGACATGAATGCGCATCAAGAAACGTGCACAAAAAGACTCGCTAGAAAAGATACGCACAAAAGTAAAAGTTAAAAAGCATGCATAAAAGTACTCACGCAAAAGTGCATTCGCAAAAAGTATATTGAAAACACTAACTACAATCCTAGGACATTAATACAAATCAACAAACATGCACAAACACGCTCGCTCAAATGGACATGTAAAAAGACATGCGTAAAAGTTCATCCGCAACAACGTTCTTTAAAACACGAACTACAATACTAGGACTTTAATACGCATCAACAGACAACAACAATACCACTAGATAAAAAACATACAATGGAGTGGAGCAATAATGCTCGACGTTAACGTTTACGTGGATTTTTATTTTGATTAATTTATAATTCTATTTTTAGTGGTGGATTTGGAATCTTTTAGGTACAAATAGAAAATTTGGTGTCCAGGAAGAAAAAATGATGAAAGAGTAAGAAAAGAGTTGCAATTAAGAAAATAAAATAAAATTAGAAGAGCGAATCCATCAACATCTTTGGTGGTGTCCACGAGGTCGAGCATAACTCTCTCATCCGGACACAAAATCAACTGGTTTTGGTGGCATTAGAAAGCTATTTCAGTGGGCCATAATTCCCGCCTAACGGCAAATATCCAAATTCGGACTCGGACATGGTCAAAATTGGATAACAAAAGCAATCATGAAATACGTACTACAATTCAAGGACATGAATGCGCATTAAGAAACGTGCACAAAAACACTCGCTAGAAAAGATACGCACAGAAGTAAAAGTTAAAAAGCATGCACAAAAGTACTCACACAAAAGTGCATTCGCAAAAAGGATCAGGAAAACACTAACTGCAATCCTCGGACATTTATACATATCAACGAACATACACAAACACGCTCGCTCAAATGGACATGCACAAACGTACATGTAAAAAGACATGCGAAAAAGTGCATCCGCAACAACGTTCTTAAAAACACGAACTACAATACTAGGACTTTAATACGCATCAACAAACAACAACAATAACACTAGATAAAAAAGATACAATGGAGGGTAGCAATAATACTCGACGTTTACGTGTACGTGGATTTTTATTTTGATTAATTTATATTTCTGTTTTCATTGGTGAATTTGGAATCTTTTAGGAACAAATCGAAAATTAGGTGTCCAGGAAGCAAAAATGATCAAAGAGTAAGAAAAGAGTTGCAATTAAGAAAATAAAATAAAATTAGAAAAGAGAATCCATCAACATCCTTGGTAGTGTCCACGAAGTCGAGCATTACTCTCTCATCCGGACACAAAATCAACTGGTTTTGGTGGCATTAGAAAGCTATTTCAGTGGGCCACAATTCCCGTCTAACGGCAAATATCCAAATTCGGAATCGAACATGGTCAAAATTGGATAACAAAAGCAATCATGAAAATACGTACTACAATTCAAGGACATGAATGCGCATTAAGAAACATGCACAAAAACATTCGATAGAAAAAATACGCACATAAGTAAAAGTACAAAAGCATGCACAAAAGTACTCACGCAAACGTGCATTCGCAAAAAGGATCATGAAAACACTAACTGCAATCCTAGGAAATTAATACAAATCAACAAACATGCACAAACATGCTCGCTCAAATGGACATGCACAAACATACATGTAAAAAGACATGCGTAAAAGTGCATCCGCAACAACGTTCTTAAAAACACGAACTACAATACTAGGATTTTAATACGCATCAACAAACAACAACAACAATAACACTAGATAAAAAAGATACAATGGAGGGTAGCAATAATACTCGACGTTTACCTTTACATGGATTTTTATTTTGATTAATTTATATTTATGTTTTTAGTGGTGGATTTGGAATCTTTTAGGTACAAATCGAAAATTAGGTGTCCAGGAAGCAAAAATGATCAAAGAGTAAGAAAAGAGTTGCAATTAAGAAAATAAAATAAAATTAGAAGAGAGAATCCAACAAAATCTTTGGTAGTGTCCACGAAGTCGAGCATAACTCTCTCATCCGGACTCCAAATCAACTGGTTCCGGTGGCATTAGAAAGCTATTTCAGTGCGCTACAATTCCCGTCTAACGCCAAATTTCCAAATTCAAACTCGAACATGGTCAAAATTGGATAACAATAGCGATCATGAAAATACGTACAACAATTCAAGGACATGAATACGCATCAATAAACGTGCACAAAAACACTCGCTAGAAAAGATACGCACAGAAGTAAAAGTTAAAATGCAAGCACAAAAGTACTCACGCAAAAGTGCATTCGCAAAAAGTATCATGAAAACACTAACTACAATCCTAGGACATTAATACAAATCAACAAACATGCACTAACACGCTCGCTGAAATGGACATGCACAAACGTACATGTAAAAAGACATGCGCAAAAGTTCATCCGCAACAACGTTCTTAAGAACACGAACTACAATACTAGGACTTTAATACGCATCAACAGACAACAACAATACCACTTGATAAAAAACCTACAATGGAGTGGAGCAATAATACTCGACGTTAACGTTGACGTGGATTTTTATTTTGATTAATTTATAATTCTATTTTTATTGGTGGATTTGGAATCTTTTAGGTACAAATACAAAATTTGGTGTCCAGGAAGCAAAAATGATGAAAGAGTAAGAAAAGAGTTGCAATTAAGAAGATAAAATAAAATTAGAAGAGAGAATCCATCAACATCTTTCGTAGTGTCGACGAAGTCGAGCATAACTCTCTCATCCGGACACAAAATCAACTGGTTTCGGTTGTATTAAAAAGCTATTTCAGTGGGCCACAATTCCTGTCTAACGGCAAATATCCAAATTCGGACTCGAACATGGTCAAAATTGGATAACAAAAGCAATCATGAAAATACGTACTACAATTCAAGGACATGAATGCGCATCAAGAAACGTGCACAAAAACACTCGCTAGAAAAGATACGCACATAAGCAAAAGTACAAAAGCATGCACAAAAGTACTCACGCAAACGTGCATTAGCAAAAAGGATCATGAAAACACTAACTACAATCCGAGGACATTAATACAAATCACCAAACATGCACAAACACGCTCG